GAACTTTTCAAGTAAAAAAATTCAAAGAAGAAAAAATAAGGAGCTTTTCAAGTGAAAAATAGACGTAAAATCATGTTCGCTACCTGACTGGTGCTCAAAATCATGAGTTTAGGCAACAGTTTGTGAGCTTTTGCGGGCCACAGCTTTTTCCAACTTTGGATTCATAATAATCATTCTCTTCGAATTTCTAAATTTCATGTTTAACGGACATAATACAGTGTTCGAAACGATATTCAATTTTTCCTTTTTTTTGTAGATTGATGATTTGGCCGATGAAGATTCACCACAGATTTACACACTGGTCGGACGCGGAGCTCTCTCAGCCGTTAAAGTACTGCGAAACGGATTGGAAGTGACCGAAATGGCTGTGTCCGAATTGCCCGGTAATCCGAATGCAGTTTGGACAGTTCGACGGAATATTGACGGTATTTTTTTTTGTCTTTCGAAGGTGTTAGGATTTTCCAGATAGCCGGTAAGGGGATCCCCCACTGAGGATGATTACTGGGAAGAAAGAATGATTATTCGACGAAAAAAATATACTGTGTATATTTCTTACTGTGTGAATACTCTGTGTATTTTTTCGCCGAATAGTCGAAAAATATACTATGTGTAGTTGATCTGGTGAGTTATAGTAGATGGTGCGTAATCCAAGACAAAAAGTCTAGCAGAATTCCGTTTGATTGCGTAATACCCTCCAACGACATACGGATGCGAAATGTGGTCACTGACAAAAGCAGAATAGCAAACGGTGGCTGTTTCCTTAAAATGTACCTATCTATTTTAGATAAATATGATTCTCACATTGTTGTGTCATTCGTCAATGCAACACTGGTACTGTCGATTGGTGAAACTGTTGAGGAAGTTACTGATTCTGGTTTTCTTGGCACAACGCCAACACTTGGCTGCGCACTTATTGGTGATGATGCACTGCTACAGGTTACAACTACTCATTTTGATGCGATTTGTGCTTTATATAGTCAATGCAGAATGATAAATATCCGTAACTGCTGTTACCGAAATGCAGCACCTGGTGGTAAGCTGATGATCAGTTTGTTGATGGTGACCGTGGAATTTGCTCCGCACTTTTCTTTCCTAGTGAACAAGAAAATTGCTACTTTTTTGCTAAATTGTTATTTGCAAAAAAGAAAAAAAAATGCTAAATTTTGCAAAAAATTACTATTTTTGCTACTTTTTCTTCTCTTGCTGCTGTAGTACAAAAGGTTGAGGTTTCAGCTTTGCCGGTGAGGCAACCAGTCTGTCTAAGATTTATTCAATCATTTCTGTTTAAACTGATGCTCACATATTTTCGCTTATAAGTTTTTCCTGGCCGTTTCCATAAAGGCTTTTATTAGTTAGGATTAATTAGAAATTCGTCGGGTGTGATTTTTCATAGGCATTGTAATTTTTAAAGCTAAAATAAGGAATTAATTTCTAAAGCTAAAAAATACCGAATTAATAAAATAGGGAATTAATTTTTTTTTTCAGGTTTATCCAGATGGTATTCGTCATATTAGGGCTGATCGTCGAGTGAATGAATGGAAAGCACCGGGGAAACGTGCAATTGTGCGATGTGCATTGAATCGAAGGCAAGTAGCAATTGCACTTGCTGGCGGTGAAATTGTCTACTTTGAGCTTGATGTGGTAAGTCATTTGTCTGTTCGCATAATATCAATTTATCACGAATATTGGTTGGGCGAAAAATGCTGGACATGTCTCTTCGTAGCAGTGTAAACAATCAAACTCTCCGTCCGACGTACGGCGTACAAATATCATTACGACATGCAGGACTGTAAAAACCATTGGGCAGGTATATTACTTGTTCGCTGACATCTTGCCGCGGAAAACCCGCGAAAAGCCGGTAAAGAAGAAACCGCCACAGAGGAAAAGATTTATGTTGCCTATGTGAAGCAGCCAAAAAACGGATGGCATATTCTGCTTTGAAAGGCAGATACACAATAGAAGTGCTGCCAGGCGTGCTTCCTTAGCACGCGAGTCAGTGGTGTAGTGGATAGCACGTCACGTCCAGGTATGTGGACTTGGGTTCGATTCCTTCGAGGTCCCTGGGTTTTTTTGAAAAGGTGATTTGTGACTTTTTTCGATTGGTGATTATAGTGATGTGCGACTTTCAGACTGGACAATTGAATGAATATACAGAGAGACGCGAACTTCCAGCTGATGTGCTGTGCATGAGTTTGAGTGAAATTCCGGAAGGCGAGCTACGATCACGTTTTCTAACGATTGGTCTGGCTGATAAAACTGTACGAATTATATCGTTGGATCCACAGGACTGCCTTTCACCGTTGAGGTATTGTTGTAAAATTATTTTGCATTTTAGAGGTTACTTGTACAAAACTGAAAAAACATTGAGCGGACGAAGGACTTGGCATAACTGCACCCTGTGAGTAGGAGCATGGGAAATCCACTCTCATTTGTGGTGGGATGTTTGATATAGTTGAAAGGCAAGTTCAGTTAAAGATTCTGCCGTAAACAAAGAGTAAAAAAAAATAGAATTTAAGATTTTGGGAAATTAGGGATTTGCTTATCTGTTATTATCGATACTGATGCATAGGAAGTTGAAGTAGATTATGGTTTGTCGCGGAAAATCCGCGAAAAGCCGGCCAAGAGGCCGCCACAAAGAAGAAAGAGAAGAAAAATGTAGCTTGCTTTGAAAAGCAGATACACAGTGGATGCGCTGCCAGACTGAACCTGGAGCACAAGGACCGGCGGTGTAGTGGTAAAATATTGCGTTCAGACGTGGAGGGGAGTGGTTCGATTCCCTTCCAGTCCAGAACAATTTTTGAGGATGAACTCGTCCACGATATGGAATGTTTTTCTTCAACAGAAAATTCAGAGAAAAAGTTTTGTACTTGTTTTTAGCATGCAAGCACTGCCATCTGAGCCAGAATCAATCATCGTATTGGAAATGTTTGGTACGGAGACGCAAAGTGCTTCCACTGTGCATTTGAATATTGGTTTACAGGTTTGATTCACTTAAGATATACTGGGAAGAAGGGAGGATGGGCAATCTCCTTGCTTTTTTTTTAAATTAGGGGATAGGAAACTAAATTCTGGAATATTTTTGGGATAACAAGTTCC